AATGTAGATGATAATATAAGTAGGCCTTACGGTTCCATTAAATTTCGCATTGCTTTGTTTCCAAAAAGTCAATCTTAAGAACTTATAAACGAAAAACATGTAATGTATGAAATGTATTCCTACCCTTTCGTTTAGGGTGATAAGGGACTGATAGATGAATTTTTCCACAATAAACTGAACAGGTATGACGTTTCCATTGAATTTCACATAAACTTGCTTTCCAAAAGGTTATTCCTATCCAGGGTGGACTGCAGTCTCTACCCCGCCTAGGTCTTATCAACACTTCCAGATGTACTCAAACCATGACAGTTCAGCTTGCAATTTCGATACATTAGCCACTACCCTACATTGTCACGAGTGCCCTTGGGTCACATGGCAGATATGAATTTTAAAGCGAGCCAGGCATTTTCCTGTATTACATGTGGTGTAGTGGTTGACGTGTGGAGATTATACGCTACTCTGTCATTGTTCGGGTCCCGCTGGGCGTGCTGATAATGCCTAGACGAGGTCGAAACTGCAATCCATTCTGGATGAGAATATTTTATGGGAAAGCAAGGCTATGCGAAATTCAATGGAAGCATCAGACCTACCCATAACCTTGTGGTAAACTTCAACTACCAGTCCCCCTATCATCCTGAACGAAATAGTATGATTACATTTAATATCTATGATATGCTGGTAGTCTCGATAGCTTACTTAACAATAAAAAATAGATAATTTATCCGATTGCTATAACAGCTATAGCAGTGAATGCTTTAAGTTAATAATGACGAACCTATTAAGCTACACGTAATAGACAGCAATAGTGATCTTAGGGATGAGCCATAAAACCTCGGAGGTTTACTGGACAATCAAGTTCAAAATCCATTCCAATCTATACATAGAGACAAAATGTTAAAAAGTATGTAGATAGCATATGTATATATATATATATATATATATGGTATAATATAATATATACATTTTTACTGGTATATACGTAGAGGTTATTGACAATTTTTAGTATGGACAAAGTAATATGAAATATTATAGTGACTTAATCAAGCTTTAATGGTTGGCTATCAACTTAGCGTGTGGAAATATCGATGCCGTTGGAGATCGAGGTTATTCTTCATCGAAGAAGATATGAAGACCAAACTGGTGTGGTCTGCGGTATTGTCGCAGTCTCCTTTCGATTTATAGAAGTGGGTTGATCTCGTTGTCGCAAATTTGTCTTGTTATCAGGGCGACTTAGTAGAACTCACCTAGACCGAATTCGTCTGTCATAGTAGTTGTCATGATTCCCAGCATCAGACAGTGAACTTAGTACATTCTCAAACGTTTCACCGGCTTCGTAGTCTGCATCATCAATGAGTGCTGCTATTCTCCGCACCAAGCTACGAACTCGTCAAAGAGACAAGTGAATTCAATGCCTCAACAAAAGTTATGCCGAAAACGATTACACTATCGTTCCTCTTTTTGCCCTGGCCTATCAATCTACTTTTTACCCTCTAATCCCACTGCCGCCCTATCACAACTTCTCACTTGTTTACATTCCACTCGTCAAAATGTGTGCTCTTTTGTGGCAAATCTAACACGGTAAAACATTCATATGAATTTCATCAAAAAATCAAAAACATGGCACTGGAAGAAACGGACTTATTAAATAGGTTTCGATGTGAAATCCATGTATACAAATATCTTTGAAGAAAATGCACTAACTGCCCTGCTGGAAAAGCTGGACCGGGAGGAGGCTATCCTGGAATCACAACAGATCGGTAGGGAGTCGTTAACAAGACTAATCAACCTATTTTACATTCAACGGGAACATCTATAAACAAATATTTGCACTTCCAATGGGATCGCCACTCTCACCACTTTTGACAAACGTATACATGAACAAAATAAGCGTGAGCTTCAAGACGGCATTGCTACAACAGACAGTGCTCATGCGTTACTTGGATGATTACTTTGCACTTTGGTCACGTGGAAAAGAAAAACTGGAAGAGTTTCTGAAGCTTGTAAATCAAATTGATGGAAAAATTCAATTTATGATGGAAGTAGATGAAGGTGAGCGGTTACCGTTCCTGGATGTTAAAGTGATTCGCTCTAATGGGACATTCAACAATAAATTGTTAAGGAAGAATTCCTATGCTGGGATAATACTTAATTTCCGGTCCCATCACAATTGCAGGCTAAAGATAGGAACATGAGATGTATTCACCCTATTTCGTGTAAGATGATGTAGGATTGGTAGTAGAATTTTCCCACCATGATATGAGTAGAGCTGACGTTTCCATTTATTTCACATAGCCTTGCTTTCCCAAAAGTTGTTCTCATCCAGGGGGGTGTTGATAAGACCTATTGGAGGACGAAACTGCAATCCACTTCAGCCAAAAGTGGTGAGAGCGGCGATCCTATGGGAAGTCCAAATATTTGTTTATAGATGTTCTCGTTGAATGTAAAATAGATTGTCCTTATTGTCAAGTTGATTAGTCTTGTTAATGACTCCCTCATGATCCGTTGTGTTTCCATAATATCCTCCTCTCGGTCCAGGATTTCCAGCAGGGCCGTTAGTACATTTTCTCCAGAGATATTTGTATACATCGAGTCAACATTGAAACTTACCAATACGTACGTTTCTTCCAGTGCCATGTTTTTTTTATTTTTTGAGGAAATTCATATGAATTTTTCACCGTGTTAGAGTTGCCACAAAAGGGCACACATTTTGGCGAGTTGAATGTAAACAAGTGAGAAGTTGTGATAGGGCGGTAGTGGGATAAGAGAGTAAAGAGTAGTTAGATAGGCCAGGACAGAAATAAGAGTGATAGGGTAACCGTTTTCGGCAGAACGTTTGTCGAGGGATTGATTTCACTTGTCTCTTTGATGAGTTCGTAGCTTGGTGCGAAGAATGGCAAAACTTGCTGATGATGCTGTCTACGATGCCGGCGAAACGTTTGAGAATGTACCAAGTCCACTGTCTGATGCTGGGAATCATGACTAATATGGCAGAAGACTTCGGTCTAGGTGCGTTCTACTAAGTCTCCTGGACAATAATACCAAGTTGCAACAACGAGATCAACCCACTTTTATTAGCTTTTGCTTAGAAGTATTTGTCTTGTATATTTTTTTGAATTTCAGTCCATTAGTTCTTTATAAATCTGGAGCTTCTGTCTTAGCCCACTTTCTTGCTTGATAACTAATCTAGTTCCGATAGATTAGTAACAACCAAGGCCTAGCGTAGTCTCCTCTTATTCACAGTATTATACCTCTTATGCTCTAATTATTCAAAAATGATATAATCTTCTTTGTCTTGCTTCACAATATCTCATTTACCCTTCTTCTTTTCATGGCATCCATCATTAAATGCACCCTTTAACGATAATTAGGCTTTTTCGTGTCTGACTATTCTTCATATTTAATAGCAGCCCTATCCTAACTGATGTCATTCTAGATTCGCTCACTTATTTGAATTGATATGGCACCTCGCTTGCACTGGAATCTTGTGACAGTTTTATGACAATCTGCAGTATGGAGTCTGATACTAGAGGCTTCATTTATCGTAATTTGTGGATTTAAAAATCTCCTTAAGTCGTATCCTAATGGTAAGACAGTAAGGCTATGTGGACGATTGAGCGTACTCAGCTCATCTCAAACCACAAACCTCAAAGGCAGCACCCTTCAACCATAAAATCACCCACCCGACTTCTCTACTCTGACAAATTTACGCTGATTGACCAGGTTCATACTCTTCAGCTCTGGATTGATTGCTCTCAACTTAACCAGAAGAGCTGATTTAAGTCAGTGGTTTTAGAGTCTTCTAAAAAGGGTGGCTAAGCCGTCGGTAATAAGTATAACCTAATCAGGTGTACGCAGTATGCTAATTAAACATTAAATGTCATATGCGACCTTGCCTATCGTTAAATCAGTACTCAATTCCGTTTTATTTAGTCCTCATTTGAGCATCGAATGAATTCAGTCCCGCGCATAAATAAAGATTTAGATGCCCTACCACAGTCAATACATGAAGGGTATATTAATTACTTGAGTGACAGTCTCCTTGCAAACACGATTTTGGGAACAATCTCAACTTTTTGACCAGTTCTTTTGTCCTTGCTTACATGTTAGCAGAAAATAAGTCTTGCTTGGCGTTCACTTTATTTAGATAATTTTGAGCATTAATCTTTTGCAAAGAATACAATTTACGAGTTTGGGAAAAGTGGATTTCTTTAGCTTTCCAAGCTAAATCTACTTTGTATTCATTGTATGGTCTATCACTTTATTCATGGATTAGCTAATAGATCCTACCACCTTTATTTGGCATTAACATGAATGAAATTTTTTTCTGTTTCCGTACTTTGACTATTTTTTCTTCACAAAATGCTTTTCTCTTTGCCCCCAGTTTTCCCCATTGACGTACTGAATAATGTGGCCTCTAAGGCTGTCTTGGTGTCCCGCGAGAACATTTCAAATGAAGAACAAGTCTCCCAACTTCTTTTTTCATTCAACCTAAGCCTTCTCTCTAACCTAAACTTCTCTGCGATTTACCGTGCCGAGTTAGTCACCCTGGTTATCGTACCCAAGGCGATGGAGGCGAAGGCAATCGATGATGGCCAGATTCACCCTCACGCCTACACGGAGAAAGCGGTTTTCAACTACCCATCCGAGCTAGAACCTGTCTCTCAGGTTAATGACATACTTAACAATTTTAGTAACCCAACTCTCGACTGCAACATCTATTAACGACTTTATTCTTAAGTATTCGTAGAACTTTAAGCATGTCAGTTTCAGCCTCATATGAAATTTAGGCAACTATCGACAATGTAGATTTCATATTCAGGACCCTTGTCGGCGTAATCACATCAATAGTAGTGGTGCATTCACTTAAATATGTGTGATATCATCAATCCTGCAATTTTTAACGAATTTTTCTGCACCTTCCAAGCCTAAGAGTTATATGCGAAGAAAAGTTGGGTTTGGAGGACTTGCTTGTCTCATAACTTCTGAGCTTACTTCAATTTCGAGTGAAAGTGTGTGGTGAAGAGATTCGAAGGCCGATCCCACCAGAAAACGATGGCAAATTCCTCTTGACCAGTTGTCGATTGGATTTACTTAATCATTCATGTTGACGCTATTTCCGAGGTAATCTCCTTCGATTCCGGTGAAAACGTTCTAAGCTTTCGTCCGTCGTGTGACAGGCATCATCAGAGCAGAATATCACCCATACAACCAAATTCTTGACTTTTAAACTTGGAAGTGAGAGTGGGGGATAGAATATAATCAGCTATACTTTTATGGACACAGCCACAAGTATGCAAAGAAAATCTGCTGAATTATGAGATGCTTTAGGAAGTGGACAGTCAGGCTATAAAAAGTAGATAGGATCGTAGCCCGCCGCCCTTCTTGTTTTGGTTATTATGAATTTACGCAAAGCATGGTTTCACATGGCGGACGGAAATTCAGAATTAATTCACTTGAGTCAAAAGACCATACAATGAAGACTTCTTTGTACAAAGCCGCAATTACAACGTTCCTTCGTTTCGTTTATAAGTAAGTTTTTTTTCGGACTATCAGTAGATCATTTATTTATGAAGTGTGTTTACCCCATTTCGCTTAAGATGATGAGGGAACTGGTAGTTTACTTTTTCCTACACTGATATGAATAGACCTTACATTTTTCACTCAACTTCTCATAACCTTGCAGCCCTAAAAATTATTCTTATCCAGGATAGACTGTAGTTTCGACCTCGCTTGGGCCTTATCAACACCCCCAGCGGGACTCGAAACTTGATGGTGCAGGGTATATTCTTGACACATGAACCAATATGCTACATTGTCACGAGTGCCCTTGGATCACATGGCAGATGTGAATTTCGAATGAAGCATAAGTAACCTAGTTAAATGATATTGCAAATACAACTTTTCTTCATCGACAATCCCACCACATAATGTGATATTTTCAAAATGCCCTACTTGAAATTCACATCTGTCCTGTGACCCAGGAGTACTCATGGCAATGTGACCTAGTGCTTAATGTGTAAAAATTATGCACTGTGTTGTCATGGTTCGAGTCCGCCTAGGGGTGTTGATAAGACCTAGGATAGGTTGAAACTGTAGTCCATCTTAAATGAAATAGAGTGAATACATTTTATAAATCCCCTTTTGATTTCCGGAAATTCCAATTTGTGGATTCTTTTTACCCGCTTTTTCAAATGAAGTAAAGAATATGAAACTCGAAGCTGCTAAGGGATATTTTTAGGCTAGATTAGCCTCATATGCATAAAATTGCGAAATTTTCATTAGCAATTAGTGATGAAGAAATTTTCTGCTAGCCTAATATGGCAAATGAGTTTACAAGACTCACTTGTTTTATTTGAACAACATCTGTTTGAGATTGTACCTACTATTAAAGAAGCTAAAGCCAACCGATATAGTCTTGTCTCTGGATTACCTTCAGAGTTGGTCAACTGGGACTCAGAGCACCAGAGACACTGAAAGGGACTACTTAGTCAGCAGCCTTTGATGATATCCTTTGCTTATTTGGCCCTATTTACTAGGTCTTTCAGACAACTATCTGTCCTTATGCGACTTAGAGTGAATGCAGCTTTAATTCAAGATCTATTGGTAGTTTCGAAAGTCTACTTATTACGAATATTAAAAAGTTTTTATGAGCTGCATAAAATGGCT